GGTTAGCAAACCTGAGCCTCTGTTATCTGAAAGAATCTTTGTCATCTCAAGAGAGAAACCTGATTCTAACCTGCCTCTGTCTTTGCTCACAGGAAACCTGTCTCAAGTCTGAAGCTCTGGATGAGCTTAACCTGCCTGCCAGCCCTGGTGAGCCAAACCTGAAGATTCCAGTCTGGATTTCTCCTGCTGCTCTTAGAGAAGAGCTGGAAACTCTGATCAAGGTCTGCCATTCAAAGTCAGAAGCTAGACGCTGCAGCTGCTCGTATACTCTGCTGAACCAACAGTCTCTGGACCCAACGGTTCCCTCTCTCACAAGCAAAGCCTGGACTTCTTCAAGGTAGACTCTGAATTATCTACAGACTCAATTAATCACCTGACTGCCTGGCTAATCAAACTATCCGTCTCTGCAGACATCAGTGAACCCAACCAGGACCAGTACCTGAACCAGTTCATGTCTTTGTGTGAAAACCTTTTTCAATAAACTCTGTTAAACTTTTACTCAGCCTCCGTTTGTGTTCTGCATGTGGGTTTAGCCTTAAACCAATCATGACACATTCAGATTAAAAGCATGTTACAATAATCAGTAACAAACAGCTAAGTTACATGCTTTAAGTGTTTATAATACAGAATAGAATAGAAAATACTTTATTGTCCCATATTGGGGAAATTGGGGTGTTACTGCCGCAAAACCATTGCAGCCAAAGAGAACCTTAAAAAGTGTATAAAAATATCAGAATAATTGGAAGAGTTAAAAAAAGAAATAAAATACTGTACTGTACAGTGTTTTTACAAATGTACTGTGCAGTCATCATATGAAGAATGAATAATTATTATACAGCTGTGGACATTTTTTACAGTAGTGGATATGGGAAAATAGCAGCAACAGAGATGTGCAGAATGACAGCAGCATGTTATTTAGGTTCTGCTTTAAATGTTAATTCTTTTAACGTCTAAACACACTTTGGCATAAAATACGGAAGAGGATTAGGGCTACTGAAAAAAAAGTAAACATTTTTTTTAAATATTTCCATTTAATATGGGTAAAAGTCAGAATTCTGAGCAGCCATGTCTGTTTTAGAGAATAAACTAGCTCTCTTGTTTTAAGCACCTTACTGCTCTTCAATTAATGAAATAGCATCACCAGGGACCCCTTGGGCATGTAAAAAGTCGCCTAATTCCGTCATTTTCCACCAATGTGTTACTGGCCCTCCCAAACAACTCACATCTTTGTCAGTGAAGCTGAGTGCTCCCTTCATGGTGCCCATCTACATTAAGATCCAAAATTCTGAGATTAAAGTCAGAATTCTGAGAATAAAGTCAGAATTCTCATATTAAAGTGAGAAAAATGGTCAGAATTCTAAGATTAAAGCTAGAATTCTGAGATTAAAGTCAGAATTCTCGAAAAAAAAGGTCTAAATTCTAAGATTAAAGTCAGAATTCTAAAAAAAGTCAGACTTCTGAGATTAAAGTCCAAATTCTGAAATAAAGTCAGATTTCTCAGATTAAAGTCAGAATTCAGAGGGGAAAAAAGGCAGAATTCTAAGATTAAAGTCAGAGTTCTGAGATTATACTAAACTGAAATAAAAATAAAAAAAATCAGTAAACTTTTTTTTCCAGCTGCCCTGATCCTCTTCCGTACATAAAAGGCACCCAAATCAAATACAATTTTTATTAAATGCCAGCGATCGGGCGGGTGTCTTTAAAAACCTAAACTGTAGGGGGCAGCAACACGCCTGCGTGCCTTT